CACACACACACACACACACACACACACACACACACACACAGTGCCTGATTTGCTTCCAACCAGACCCAGAGCTGGCTAAATCCCTCACCAGAGGTACCCTCGTCACAGCATCTCATCCATGGGAGAGTACAGCAATCCTTGGACCCCTGCCTTAGACTCTAGGCCCCAGAGCACATGCCTCTTGGCCCAGGCCCAGCCAACAGTAGCCAGGGTGACGCACACGGCCCCAGCCAAGAACACCAAGATGACGGTGTGAGTCCGGTACCCAGCCAGAGCAAACCCCGAGGCATTTGTGGCCCCCTGCTCTGAGCTTGCTTCAGTTGTTTCCTGCCAGCGAAAGCCCCAGATGGGTGAAGTCGCTGCAAAGTCGGGGAAGGTGCTTCCGCCTGGCTCGGCAGAACGCTCGCTTTCCGGAGCATCCTGCAAAGTGACCACTTGATTGCTTGCTAAACCGCTCCCCCCTTTCAAGCTGACCGAGCCGGGTTTGCTTGTGCCACCAGAGCAGGGGGTGCTGGGCAGGGCAGGCCAGGTGCGTGGAGCCGAATCCTGACCGCCGGAGGAAGACAGCAGCCTGGCAGAGGTTGTGAATGGCTGCATCCCCTCCTCCGTGTAATTTGCAATCGGTCGGCTTGAGGAGGAAGAGCTGGACGGGTAGATGGTGGATTGGGCAGGAGACCCCAGGAGACGCCCAAGAGAAAGTCCACCTATTTTGAGAGTCTGTAGGCTGATAGGAGACCCCACCAGGGCTTCCCTGGTGGAGGTGAGCCCTTTCCCAGAAGTCTTTGCTTCTTCAGTGGTTCTGGGACCCACAGCCTCATTTGGAACCATTTCCGGCCGAAGGGTGGGGCGAGGGACAGCCACTTCTGTGCTGGGAACAGGCTTGGAAGGAGAATTGCTAGGATCTGACCCAGCTGAGACAGAACTGACGGCGGGTGGGTTGGGATGCCCTGTGCTAGACGTTTGAGGAGGTCGGCTCAGGGTCCCAGCTGGGGCTTTTGTAGGTGCAGGCTCCCCTGTGAATCTGTGAGGCGCAGGGGGCTTTTCTGACTCCGGGGTGTCCACTTTTGAAGATGGGGGAGCACTTCTTGCATCTAAGCGTCTCATGAGGTCTTGCACTGTTTCGGCTTGTGGATCACCACAAAAAACCTTGCTCTTCTTTGTAAAGAACCTGCAGAAAGGAAAGAAAGGACCAAGCAAGGAGAGATCTTACCAGTGTGGACCAGCTAAGTCAAGCAATTTCAAAACAGCAGGGCAGATTTGGCCGCACAGTCCACTATTTCCTACCCTGCATCTTGACCTAAGGCTTACCAAATATAAACATATCAGTAGCAAGCAGTGCAGCAAACAAACTATAAAAAGAATGAAATCCAGCAAAAGCAGCCGCTGTTGATACTCCTCAACAGGTGCCTAATGCGCCTGAAAAAACTGAGGACTAGGAAGATGCACGTCCCTACAGAGTGAGTGCTACACAGTTGGTGCTGTCCTGGGGGGGGGGGGGGGGCGGTCCCATTGCACCACCCTCTGCCCCTTGGATGGGGAGGGGTGTCAATCAATTGGAGCATCCATAGACCGTCTAAGGTTAATGGGGAGGAGCCAGCCCGTACTTCGCATCGCATGACGCCCGTGTAGGTGGCCCAGTCCTACATAGCACTTCAAGCTGCACCCAAAGCATGAAACGAGGGGCTTCCCAAGGAACTTGCGCTCTGCGTATCACAAGTGGATGGCGAGAGAAAAGCAAATGAAAAGGAGAGAAGGGCATGGAATTTGCACGATTCCACACACGTTTGCCTCTGCAAAGCCAAGAAGTCACAGCCATTTCATGGAATGGTCTCCAAGTTGTCTTGAAGACCTTGTTTATTTTGATTTAGAAAACTGCATCCGGTAGTCCTAACTGGGACTTTCTGGGTGGTAAGCCCTGTTTGCAAACAGACCCAGTGGCAGCCTGTCCACATTTGGCATTGCGTTAAGAATCGGCACAGTGCTTGAACGTCCTTGCTCTCCTTTAACCTCTCCTTTGGGGCCATTTATCTATTTCTGCATCACCCAACAACGAAGGGTCTCTCAGCGGTTTGCAACACATAAAACGAACTGCAATGAAAACATCCCTAAAAGATTACCATCTGAAATTTAAAATGAACGTTAAAATGTTGCACAAATTAAATCAAAAGGCCTGCTGGAACAGCTAATGTGCCAGTAGCTATTAAACGCCTTGTGGTGGAGGAGACTCTTAACCTGGCACTGAGCAGACGCGGCGGTTGGTGCCAGGCAGAGCTGGTCCCATTCCTGGGGCTACTCCTGAAAAGGCCATTCACATAACTGGCAGAAAGATGTAATGGCGGAAAGATGCTCACACAACGAATCTCTCTGCCCGGCAGGTGGCCATTTCGTAGCGCTGCACAGTCCTCGAGAAGCCCTTTGAGATATTCTGCAGCTTTTTGAGGCATTCTCTGGCACACCCGTTGACGGCCACTGGTTGTCCTAAGGGAAAAAAACAGCACATAAAACAGGATGTTTGCTCTTTTTCTTATTCTGCCAGGGGTTCCAAATACCACTGGTTTGTGCTAATTCCATGCAATGAAAAATAAGACAAAGAACAGGGGGTTCCTTTTTGAATTCACTGACGTTATATACAAGAAAATATCATAGCCTTCCTTGTAGGTGTTGGACTACAACTCCCATCAGCCCCAGCCAGTATAATGGCCAATTCTGGCAGCCAGAATTTGTGGACAAAGCCCTTTAGGTCAGGGGTTTGTCAAGTATAAGTGGGTAATCAGAGGCATTTGGACCACAGCTCCCAGCATTCCCACCCAGCAGGCCCAAAGAATATGGGTGCTGTAGTCCAAACAAGTCTGGAAGACACAGGCTTGCGGGAGGCTGCTTCCCAGAAACCTCCCCGTTTTGCAGCTGGCATTTTTCAAGCATTCTTCAACTTTTGTTCCTGATCATACTGGCAAATCTGGAACGCGTTCCAGCTCTGAGTGGCGGCTTTGGAGATTTCCATTCTTATCTTGAGTAGTTAGTTGGCACCAGGAGGGGGGTGACATCGGTGTGAGAGTGATCCCGTGTGATAAAGAGAGTTGGGTAAGACAAGAGGGATCACCTGAGACCTTTCTTTCCATTTCCGAACGAGTTGAGGTTGGTGGCTGCAAAGCCCTTGTGGGGGTGGCCCCGTTGATGGAATGTTCCCCCAGGACAGTAGTCTGAACCCGCCTCCATGGTCTTTCCAGTGTCAAAGACCTTTATATTCCCCTAGGCATCTGAGAACTGTTTTGGCATCTCTGCTTTATTCTGCTGCTAATTTGGCTTCGTGATGTTGCTTGCCGAGGGTTTCATCCTTCACTGTTCTTCATTGGTTTAACATTTGTACTGTATTTTCAATAGATCCTGCCTTTTCCAGAGCATTTCCACTACTAAGTGGTTTAGAAGTTTGGCAAATAAATGCATAAATGAATAAGGGATCTGGGAGACATAAAGGCAGCAAAGAACCCAGATCATGACAGCATTGCATGCAATGGAGTCCAGTTACTGGTACACCGCAGGTCTGCAAACCCATGGCTTCCTTCACTTTGGCTTGCTGTCTCCCTGCCTGTCTGCCTGCCTGCCTGAGCAAGGCAGAGTCCTCTGCTACATCTGAACTGGGCCAGTCGGGCCTGGAACACATCATAGTTTGCTCAAAAAGCTGAATCTGAAACTTTGTCTTACTGGGGAGGTTGCAAAAACTTTGTTCACCCACTCTGGATCCTGCAATTTCTTTGGCAGCAGTAAGAGATGCTGCAGCCCACCTTGGCCTAGCAGTTTTCCAGGTAAATTTCCGGGCTCCTGGGGGCCCGGATGAGAGGAGGAGCAGCAGTGGGAGTCATTTCATGACCACCCCCCAAGAGTTTTGCAAAACTTTGCAACAGTTGGAAAGCTTGGGAGGCTGCAGTGAATCCGTACTTTGAACACGGCTTGCTTCCGGTTTGCCTGGTTCAGACACAATGGCAAATTGTGTTTTGCTTTTGCAAAGCGACAGACGCAATGGGAGCACACGGTGGGGCTGGGGAAGCAGGCAAGCCTCCACCTGCGCAGAGGCAGCCAAGCCACGCTTCTGCCATGACATGTTTTGCATTTCAGGAGAATGCTCACCCAAATTAGCTCCTAGACTGAACACTGCTCACCCCTGTACAATCCCCTGTTCGCTTCTTCATGCAAATAGTCCTTAAGATCTGACTTTTTTAAAAAAGGGGCTCACGGGAAGCAAATGACACCTACAGCAAATTGCAATGTCCCGCATCCCCTTCAGTGCGACCCTTTAACAGAAGCGCCTCTGCCTTCAGAGCTGCCCATGTTCATGTTAACCAGCTGCGAAGGAGGAGCAGATGCCAGAAGAGCAAACCAGCGGTGGCTCCAAGAGGGCAAGGGCCATTTTCCTAGTTACACCTGCAAAAATGAAGCCGCATTCACATATGGCGAGGACGTGAGTGTGCAGAGAGTTTCCAAGCATTTGTCTGACCTCTGCTTCTAAATATATTGCATACGTAGAAGCACCGACTCCCTGCGGGGGAAGAAATGCAGTATTTGTCACAGTCCTGGAAGCAGTTTCAAAGCGCCTTCACTGTGCTCAGTTCCAAGTACACTTTTCAAGTCTCAGCCGAAACCAGGAAAGATGAGTCACTGCTCTTCCGCTGCGCTCCACCGACTTCTCACACAAATACCGCTAGAATAAACATTTGATCTGCATAAAATCAACCTCAACTGGCTTCCCATTGAAGCCTGGGCCCAATTCAAGGTGTTGATTATGACCTATAAAGCCCTAAACGGCTTGGGTCCTGGTTACCTGAAGGAGCGCTTACGTCCGTATATGCCCACCTGCCTCTTGAGATCAGCGGGAGAGGCCCTTCTCCGGGAACCCTCCGTGAAGGATATTAGGAGGGTAAGTACTCGGAGGAGGGCTTTCTCTGCGGTGGCACCCAACCTATGGAATTCACTCCCCAAAGAGGTCCACCTGGCACCGTCATTACTGGTTTTTCGGTGCCAGGTAAAGACCTTTTTATTTAAACATCATTTTAATTGTTAAAACATATGATCTGGCCAGGGCAACTTCTTCTTCCTTCTCTTTCTCCTCCTATATTTTTATTTACTTAATTTATACTGATAATTTTAATCTTATATTTGTAAATCAATGTATTTTTTGTATTTTGTAATTAATGGTAATTTATTATGTGCTATTGTATTTCATTGTATTTTATCGTGTTGTAAGCTGCCCTGAGGTTTCGGCAAGGGGCGGCATAGAAATGTTGTTATAATAATAATAATAATAATAATAATAATAATAATAATAATAATAATAATAAATAACATTTGTCCCAAAGCCATGAAAAGTTTCAGCTCCTGCATACCAAGCCCTGTGAGAAGGAAATTTTTTGGTTCACACCTGATTCCACACATAAGAACCAAGGCCTGAGCTGAAACTCATTTCCCTTTCAAAATTTGCACTTCTCTGGATTTTGCAATGAAGTTCTCTAATTTTAAAAAGTGTCCAAAATGCCCCACTTAGAGAAAACTGCACCCAAAGACGTGGATCTTAATGAAAATAGCACTGAATAATGAATTATATCAAGGAAATCACTTGCAAAAAGCATGTATATCAGACACAACTGAATACAGACCCTAAGGACAATGGCAAAGGCTGATGAAAAGTTGACAGCCCTCTCTGATTTGAGCTGGAAGAGTGGAAACAGGCATCCTGGTAATATACACAAGGCTGCTTACAGATGGCCCGATTCTTACAGGACAAAAGTTGCAGGGATGGGCTGGGTTGTTGGTGAGGTTTATCAAGGCCTTGGTCTGTTGCTGAGCTGACCTCTGAGATCACCTGATCCCAGGTTATCAGTTCAGATGCCACTTAAAAAGCTCTTCTGGATGGCGGGAAGTGGTTCTATTTCAGCGTTCCTGGTCTTATTAGAATTGCAGCCTAGCTCACCTTCTCCATTCCTAGGCGTATGCAAAAACACACCTTTCAGGTGCGAGCCTAGAAGGAAATGAAGCGTCTGGTCCAGCAAATTGGGGTAAATGGGCAAGCAAAACTCTGCAGGATTACAAAGGACATCTTACCAACGGAGAGGAAAACTGAGAGGTGCGGGGGGGGGGGATTATCGGTCAGGGCAGCAGCTGCAGTTTGGCTGCAAAGACTGTCCAGATGAACGCCTGAACCATGCAATGGAGTGCAGAAGAGAGGGAGAGGGGGCAAGGCCCACATGCCGCAAGCCCTGTGCATGTCTCCGAACTGGGAAGCCACCAACCAGGCAAGGCCTCAGAACAGCTGCCCCCGCCCCCCCCCCAAGCTGGGGCGACATCTTCCAGCATACCCCAGCCTGGTGCCCCCCGATGTGGAGGGCTGCTATTCCCAGCAATTTCCCAGCCACAGATCGGGGATTTCCGTCCTACAGACCCTCCTATCGGCTCTCCGTTTATTTGTTGGCCCCTTATTAAGAGAGAGGGGTTCGGCTTGTAAGCTGCGCAGAAGCTTCTGCCAGTTGGATGAATCTGATCAATACTGAAAAAATAATCATTAAGATGCAGAATACCTCGCCCTTTCAATCCAATGAGCAGAGCAGTTGACAATTAAATGAAGGGGGTGTTTCTTGCTTTAACGGAAGAGCCTTGAAGAGCAAAATACGCATAGGAACAGCCCCGAACTTACTGCAAGCCCCTCTTCGCAACGGCAGTTCGCAAAGCAGAAACCAAACAGTCTTTACGGCTGGCGGGGGGGGGGGGGGCTCTGCCGGCGCCGCGGGGGCGCGTTGCGCGCTTGGGACGGCTGCCCTCGGCTTCCGAGCAGGTCCCTCGGCCGTACCCATGCCCGCCCGGGAGCTGCGCGGCGCCGGGGCCATGGGGCTGGCTCCCAGGGGCAGCGGCTCTCGGAGAACGTCCCCCCACTGAGCGCGGACGGGCTCCCGCCCCAGCCCCAGGCGCGGCTCACCTGCCACCTTCGCCCCCAGCCGCTCCCAGCCGGCGAGCTGCAGCGCCGCCAGCGCCAGCGCCAGCGCCGCGCCCCGCATGCCCGCGCAGCCGGCTCCCGTCCCGCCGCCGGGCCACGGCCACCTGCTCCCCGGCCGCCGCTGCGATGCCGTGTGGCCGGCCGGGACGTGCGCTCCGGAGCGCGGCCGCCGCTCCCTTCCGCCGCTCGCGCCCACCTCCTCCGGCGGGCGGATCCCGCTGGGAAGCGCGGCGCGCACCGCGGGGCGCAGCTCGCCAAGGGAGGCGTGTGAGCGGAAATCGGGCTGCCGGGCGTCCGCGGGCCGTGCACGCACCTGCGCGCCCCCCCCCCCCGCCCCGAAGGGCCGCGGCCGCCCTCGCCGGGCCCCCCCCGGCCGCCTCGCCCCCGCCCCCGCCCCCCGGAGTTGCTAGCCAAGTCTGGCGCTCGGAAGCCCATTCCCTGGAGCGGCGCTGCCTGCTGCGTGGGCGCGTCCTCCGGCACGGCACCGTGCCTGCTCTGCCCCGGCTGCGCAAGAGGCCGCGGCCTTTCGGTCGCACAGCACACACCTGCGCAGACCTCCCGGGGCGAGACGCCGAGGGCCTGGAGAACTTTGGAAGAGTGACGCCAGCCCCATGTCGTCCGGCATTGTGTTCGCAGCCAACCAGCTGCCCACGGGGGCCCGCCAATGGGGCACGGATGCAAGAGCACCCCACCCATGCTCCCCAGCGGCTGGTGGACACAGGTACTCTGCCTCCAGTAGCGTTTAGCGATCCGGACTTGGCGCCACATGACTCTGTCCCACTCCCATTAAAGCTTTCCGTCCCAGAGGCCGTCACTATGACTCGTGGTAGAGAATTCCATAGTTTATGCACTGTGTTGAGAAATCCTTCCTTTTCTGCCTCCCCGTCAGCCCCATGGAATGACCCCTTCGGATTCTGGTATTATGGGAAAGGGAAACTTGTTTCCAAGTAAGCAGGCAGGCCGAGATTTGTGCCTTAAGGATGCGAGTGAGTTTGCACGGCCATTTTCGTGAATAAACCATACGGAACAGGCTGGGGCATCATTTTCATTCGTGAGATTAAGGCCTGAGACTTTCCTGAGACTTCTATGTACAGGATGGGTTAGAAAAGTTTTAAATAAATAAATAAATAAATAAAGACATAAACAAAGCAAATGCCAGAGGTGAGGTGAGCTGAACTGGCAAAAATAAAGTCCCACCTGTTTAACAATTTGGTTTTGACGTGAAGGACATGTCCAGGGAAGATGAGACAGTCCTCTCCTTTGGGGGAGCTGGCCTGGATTCGGAGAGATTGTTTTTGCCACACATTGCCAGAGAGAGCCAGTGTGGCCTGGGGGTTCGAGGGCTGGACTAGGGACCCAAGAGATAGGGGTTCTAGTCTCTACTCAGCCAGGAACTTTGGGCCACTCTCAGCCTGACCTTCCTCACAAGGTTGTTGTGAGGATAAAAACGGAGTGGAAGGGAGCTTGGGAAGTGCCCTGGGTTCCTCCTGATAGGTAAGAAGGCACACACCCCACATTTAGCTGAGAAATCAACCTTTTGCAACTGCAGCCTTGCTATGCAGAAAGGCAGCCAGGCAGCTGGAAGGCCTTCACACAACCACTGACCTCTGGCCCAGGCCCAGAGAGGCAGGTGATGATCAAATTGCAGTGAGGAAGAGGAGGAGGCCCAGGAGAGGACTGCTCAGCAGCCCTTGACATATTCCTGGCCACCTCCCTTTGCTGTCGGCCCTGCTGTAAGGGCACCAGGCTAGGCTGCCAGATGCTTCTGCCTGCATCTTGCAGTGGGTGGTAGGAACGGTCCTCCTTCCTCTCACGCAGGGCAGCTGCTCATCCCAGTCCTCAGTCCAGGAAGCAGCGCCCTGCAGGGAATTCTGGGAATGGACTTCCTTAGCCTATCGGCCACTGCCTCGAAAGCTGCCCCGTAGCTCCACTGACCTTAAGTGAAACGGTGGGCGCTCTCTTTTGCTTCCCCGTCTCTGCAGCCCTGCCAAAGAACAGGCATGAGCTGTCACAGGATGCCTTGCACCCAACCTTCGTTTCGCATCTTTGAGTGGAGATGGGCTCCAATTTGCTCCCGGTACAGAATCCCCAGCCAGCGCAGAAGCGGAGGGGGGTCTGCACAGTCAAGGCTGATGAGCGAGACCAGCTGGGCAGCTGGGAAAGCCACACCATCCTGGGCTCTCCGGGAGCTGCTGTTGGGCAAGGCAGGGAGGAAGCAGAGGCCTGGACCTCGCCATGCTTCCCCACAAGCACCATGGACCACGCTGCTGGTCGAGTCTGGTTCTGGGAAGAGGCAGGGGACTGTTCCAGCTCAGAATAATCCTCCACCGGGGCAGAAGCTGCTGGCACAGAGTGGAGCGATCGCTAACAGGAGGAAGGCGATCTGGCGACTGATATGAGAAGGAAATGACGGTATGAGGGAACAGGCACAGGTGCTAAATGACTGTTTGCCCTCTGTGTTCTCCCCAAAGCAGGACGGGGGAGATCCACATAGATTAGATGAGGCCGGGGACTTGGGGGCACAGATTAGAGTCACCGCCCTTGAAGTCGAGGGGCTCCTCAGGGCATTGGACATTACAAAGGTGCCAGGCCCTGACGGGTTACACCTGAGAGTACTTAGAGAGTTGGCAGGGGTTCTCTCATGCCCACTGGCCTCCATCTTTAAGAATGGGTGAAGTTCCAGAGGACTGGAGCTCCCAATTTTCAAAAAGGGTAGTAGAAGGGACATGGGGAATTATAGACCGGCTAGCCTTACATCCATTGTAGGAAAAACAATGGAAAGGCTCATAATAGAGAGAGATCTAGTGATGCTAGATAGGGAAGGGAGGCTGGCGGCCACGCAACACGGCTTCCGCAAAAACAGGTCCTGCCAGACAAACCTTGTGGAATCTAGGACAAGGTTTCGAGGTGGCTAGATGGAGGGGATGCAGTGGATGTGGTTTACCTGGATTTCAGCAAGGCCTTTGACAAAGTGCCCCATGATATCCTGGTGGAGAAACTGAGGAGTTTTGGGATACACCAAAGCACTGTCCGGTGGATTAGGGCATGGTTGACTGACCGAAAGCAGAGGGTAACCATAGTGGGGAATCATCGGGATGGCGGCCAGTGACAAGCGGGGTCCCCCAGGGCTCTGTCCTGGGGCTGATCCTGTTTAATCTTTTCATCAATGACATGGAAGAAGGGGTGGACAGTCTGCTGATCAAATTTGCAGATGACACTAAAACTGGAGCAGTGGCCACAACTGAGGAGCAGGTACTCCAGGTCCAAAAGGATCTGGACAGACTATGGAAGTGGGCAGGAGACAACAGGATGGCGTTCAATGTGGATAAGTGCAAGGTCTTGCACTTGGGGCATAGAAATGGGTGTCATAAGTACAGGTTAGGGGACAAGTGGCTGGAGAGCAGCACTTGTGAAAGGGACTTCAGGGTGCTGGTCGCCTGCAGGCTGAACATGTGTCAGCGGTGTGATGCAGCGTCCAAGAGGGCGAACGCCACCCTTGGTTGCATAGCCAGAAGTGTGGCTTCTGGATCGAGAGAGGTGTTACCACCACTCTATACGACTCTGGTGCACCCACAACTGGAGTGTTGTGCTCAGTTTTGGGCCCCTCATTACAGGAAGGATTAGCCAGGTTGGAGTCAGTGCAGCGCAGGGCCACAAGGTTGGTGGCCAGCTTGCAGGGGATGCCGTATGAGGCAAGACTGAGGGAACTGGGCCTCTTCAGCCTGGAGGAGAGGAGACTCAGGGGGGATATGTTGGCGACATACAGGTACGTGAGGGGATGTCACACAGAGGTGGGCAGAGACCTGTTCTCCCCTGCAGAGGAAGGCAGGACGCGCTCCAACGGAGCAAAGCTCAGGGAGCCAAGGTTCAATTTGGATGCCAGGAAGCACTTCCTGACAGTCAGGACCCCGAAGGTATGGAATGGGCTTCCCCGGGAGGTGGCTGAGGCCCCATCATGCAGGTGTTCAAGGATAGGCTGGACATGTACATGGTGGGCATGTCGTGAGCAGAGCCGGCTGGTGCTGGAGATCAGACTAGATGGCCCGGGAGGCCCCTTCTGACTCAATCTGTTTCTATGTTTCTATGTTATCAGTACTTTGATTCATGCAACATATTAACAGCTCTCTTGGAAACACCCTTCCAGCACTGCGAAACTTGCTGAGCTCCAATAAAGCTGATTTTATAAGCTTTAGAACTGCTGGAAAAGAGGGGCGGGGGACTTGGCAGGAAGCTCTCTGGTGCTGAAGGTGGAGAAAGTCACTCCACACCTTCAAAGTCTGAAGGCCACTAACAAGCCCAGCCAAGGTGTGGCACGCACCTGTGCAACGACAGAAGGTGCAGTACGAACTGCCAAAGGAATACTGGCTCAGCTCGCGTGAGGATCCTGGGGGTCCTTGCAGGACACCCCTTGGGCCCCTCCCGCAGGAAGTCCGCCTTCTCGACCGTGCCTGCTTTTGGTGCCTTCCCTTCCCCGCCGTGCTTCAAGTGAGCAGCCGGCCCTTCTTAGTGTTCAAAATGCCACTCGTGCATCCGCGTGCTTTGCATGAAAAATAAAGATTTCTTGCTGCTACCTTTCTGCTGGGGAGACTGTCCTTGCTCGATGCAAGTTTTTCTGGATTGCCCCAGTCTTCCTCCACCAACCCCATTACCCAGTTTTGCTTCCTGCTCCAAGCAAAAAATCCAACACAAGCCTGGAGACTTGACTTGGAAGCTGGGAAGTTCCAGGTTGACTCTGGCTTGCCCATCACAGGTCCCTGTCTTCACCTCCCTCCCAAGTGCCTTGAAAAAGCTCCACAAAGAGAGAGGCTTGGCTGAAGTCCGGAACATTCTTACGTCCAATAAGAGGTGACCTAAAATGGATGGATGGGAAACACGAGGTTTTTCCTTCCTGAGACAGTTCCCCCCCACACTTCTCTGTAGGAATGCTGAGTCCGCATGACTCCAGTTTTGGAGTCCATTCTCAGAGTGATGCACCTCAGGCCTGGGAGCTCCTTGGAATTACTGCCACTGAATTTTGGATCTAGGATCATTGAAACACAAAGTTCTTAAGGCCTAAAGGAAAGCATTTGTTCTGAAAGAGAAAAGAAAAGGAATGTTTCCCCAGATTTCATCATTCCCAGTGGAAAAACCCAGATCTCTCCCTTGAAAAACAAACAAGCTTGTTTTCTCCCGGAATGATATCATTTCCCTGGACTTTCACGGTGTTAGCATAAATACT